AAAACTTCTTTCACTTGTGTATTTTATACTCTGTTTGAATTTTTTTAACCTATATGCATATATTTCTTTTTCTAGTTAAAATAAAAAGTGTAATGGAGCAAAGGAGTAACTAGCTCAGCAAATACAACAGCCATGGAATCACTGAGTCATCACTTTTGATTTAAGCCTGAAAGCATTGATAGTCTCTCTCCTATGTGCCCAGTGCTGTTTTAAGAGATCTTTTATTTTTTTTTATAAAATAATAACATGCTATCCCTCACCCCTGCCCAGGGCTGGTGGAAAACCAACTGAGATTTTATTGAGTTGTTTTTCCAAGGAGTAGAGATGAGTTATAAACAGAACACATCTTCAGGGCAAAACAGGCGGAGTGCTTTTCCAGCAGGCCAGATAGCGATGACGGGTTTTCAATAGAGGCGCACAGAGGCTGAGAGAGAAATCTTCCAAGACCCTACAGAAAGCTGCCCAAAGTGCCTTCTCCATGGCACTACTGAAATAGGAAAGAACAAATCTGACTCCATATTAGATCTGTTCCTTTGACTTTAACCCTGTGCCCTCTTTCCTAGGCTTAGTCTTGTTCTTTCGGTACTTTTTGTGAAACAATGTTGCCTAGAGCCTGAAATATACAGGAGACACTATTCTCAAGGCTCTGACTTTGAAGGATATTAACACTTTTCCATTCACATAAAGATAACAAGATACAGAATAGAAAATAACATTTGTTTGTTGGAGATTTACACGGATCTGACCTAGGTGAAGAGCTGCAAGAACAAAGGATTCTAAAAACAAGGAAGTCATACACCAAGTTTGAAACAACCAAGCATTCCCGCTTCCCGTTTTTAATATAAGAAGAGCCTGAATTCTGACTTGGGGTGATGGTTTTCCAGGACATTGGTCTACCATCTTCTCAGCTGGCTTTCCAAATTAGAGTCGCTATTTCTTGCCCCAAAACCTGGTCTCCTGATGTGTTGGCCTGTAATGCACGAGCAGAACAAGCCTGGACTTGGAAACACAAACATACATTGAAAGTACGCATTTGGTATATTAAATGACCTGCTTCCACTCGCCTTCCTGACGTTTTCTTCTCTTGACCACTCCTAGTATGTTTATGAAAAACCTGTCATGTGGACATATTTCCATCTCTAGCCACTAGCCTTCCAGGTAAGAACTGATGCCAAGAAGGCAATGCAAGTTGCTAGAAGGTATTACCTGGCCAAAAAAAGCAGAAGTGGGTTCTGGCTGATGTTCAGGAGCAGGGGGGACACCTGACAAGATGTCATAAGTACGGATACACAGCTGGGCACCAAAGGAGAAGGTTCTAAACTTCCATGAGGTACTTGTTGGATATGAAGGTAAAGTCCCAGCCTATAGCTCTGATCCCACCACGAGCTTCCTGGGCAAGGCTGGGCAAGTCATTTAAATTCTATAGGTCCGTGCTGTCCAACATGGGAGCCACCAGCCACATGCAGGATTATGATACTATTCTGTAGCCAGGCAGAATTATAAATAAACATTTCATTGCAAAGGGTCAGCAGGTATAATATTTAAAAACATTATTGGTTATCTTGCCATAACAAGTTATTTTTGTATGTCTAGCTTCTGTGGTATGTAATGCCTGCCACTAATGACTCCCTTACAGTGAGGTATTTTGAAATTATATGTTACTGGACACAGTACCCTCATATCACAGTTGAAAAAAACTGATCCACATAAGCAAGGTGATCTGAATTAGTAGTTATGAGCAGGGGCTCTGGGGCCAGCCTGCGTAAGTATAAATTCTCACTCTCAGTCTCCCTACAGGGGGTTCTGTGTGAATCTTGGACAAATTATTGTTGTTGTTGTTGTTGTTGTTGTTGTTGTTGTTGTCATTGTCGTTGTTATTATTTGTGCCTTTCTCCTTACCTTTTAAGTAGCGAGGAATATGTAGACTCTATCTCCTACTGTGTTGGCAGCATTACATGAGTAAACGTCTGTGCTGCCAACTTCCCTGGGTTTCAGCATTCTCCAGGCAATCAGTGCCAACCTCAGTGGCATTCTCCACTGTCTTCGTCAGTCTGGGATGCTGTAACAAATTACCGTGGGTCGGGTGGCTTAAACAACCAGCATGTT